ATTACAATTATTAATAAAACGAATTATTATTAATTAAAAAATACTATTTAAAAACTTAAGTAAATTTATAATTTTAATAAAATTCAATAAATTCAATTATTATTTCATTTGAAAAATTAACTATTTATATTCTGTATTGTTAATAAATCAACACACTAATAGTTAGTAGCCTACACTTAAATTACTGGAAATAAATCTTGCACATTTCCTTTAAAAGAAAAAAAAATGTCCGTTTTGTAGTTATGATCTGTAATTTCCTTTCCCAGTATGTGCAAAATGCCAAAGTGACAACAGACACAGGACATTTTCATCAACAGTGCAGCAATGTGTTCTTACAACAACCCAGAAAACAACGATTATAATCTTAATGGATGTCCTGTTACGGTCCACAGTTCAGCACCTTTCCCCTCTCGCCGGGCACGTTCACAAGAATGTGTCTGTTTCTACCAGTTATATTATCACCCTCCATCTGTTGGTGGCCGTACGTTGCCTGTCAAGCTCTTGAAAAAGAGTTTCACATCTTGTTGCAATGCCATGTTTCTATCTTAAGCAACAAGAGGAAGTGAATTACATCAAGAGTCTCTGTGTTTTGTGCGGCAGCTGCACCTGTGATTTCTTGAAACAGAAAGTGCTTGCATTATAATGTGAAACTGTAACCTCCGTGACAGCAAGGACGCTCAACCCTCAGTCTGAAATCAGACTCGTCCTCTGGCATATGATGTGTAGAAAACATCAGTCTGGAAAATTCATAAGGCCAGCTTTTTCTCACATAAGAACTAATATGTCTTATCTGTGAGAAGCTTGCAGATCAACAGCGACACATGCACCGCCTCTCAGTTCCCATTCCCTCTCTACAAATGACTTCACCAGAGGCCAAGGGCCGTACTTATGCATAGATAAGACAAGCAAATGTTCAGCAAGCAACTGTTTACACTTGTTTGATTTCAACACACAATCAGAATGGCACATCTCACGCCTGCCCTGGAGTCTTTAAGAGTCCTGCATGATTTGGAGGAAGCTAGACAGGGAGGAAGATGAATAGAGAAGCGAATGTTTAACACATGATGTGTTTGTAGTTCAGTGCTGTTTTGTGCATTACAGCCACTTAGGACCTGGTGGGTTTTATTGGAGAGAGGCCCTGCTCAACCAAACACAGATTTCAGTTTTGTCCTGGAAGAAAACTGCTATTCCATCCACTACTGCACTGCTGGATCTCTGCGGGAGACTCACAAATGTCTTTTCCTACTTCTCCTGAAGGGCATACTGAGACTAAGAAGGAACATAGTAATACTGAATGTATAACATTTTATTCATAATAAATAGCATGTGTGAAACAGATAGTGAGATGGCTTTGGAGATGCTTATTCTGGTTTAAAGGGGACATACCATAAAAAAATTTATGTATTTATTTCTTGCTATTTTGAAATAGAGAGTGTCAAAATATGTAGATTACATTTTGGAATTGAGAACCAGTTCTTATTTTGAATTATTAAATTGCACGAGTATCCGCTTTCAAGTGCATGACATATTGTTTCCTGCGAAACTAAATCCTGCTTAATTAAGCTGGACTTCTCACAAAAATTTATAAAAAGAGTATGATATGGCTCCTTTAAAGTCCAAAGGCAGAGTGTTCACACCAGTAAGGCCTTCAAGATGCTGAAGCTTTAAAATGATTCACTAAAATTGATTCTAAGTCTGAGTCCTGGCATCCTATTAACAGCAGTGGTTCCAAAAGTACCCAAAACCTCATTCAGAAGAAATAGGAAGTCAAAGGTGTTGTAAATCAATGGCTTCAGACACTTTTACAGTGTTACATCCTGTGCAGAGAGCACCAGCTGTGAGCTGTGTGCAGCTTTTTCCCTTGGTTTAACCAAGTAGACAGCTAAACAAGCTGTCTTGTCAAAATAATGTGCTGGATGAAGCATTGGTCTGCAAAGATGCTTTATTAAAAATGAGTGCAAGAGAACACAGTG